ATCCCTGCGGCGAGGCGCGCAGTGCGCAGGCGCGGCCCCACCCAGCCGCGCGCGCCGGGGCTTTCCCTGTTGACGCCGCGGAAGCGCTGCCCATATATGGCCGGATTCTGTCCAGTGACGCGACCGCGGTCTCCGGGCAGATTCCGGGAATCCCCTCCCCCGCTCTGCCCGGCAAGGGCCGCGGCGCCCGGAAGGAGGCCGGGATTTTCCCAGGCGGGCGGCTGCCTGGGCCCGGAAAGCCCCAGGCCTGGGTCCAGGGCGTCCGTGGTGGGTGGGCCGCGCTCCCGGGTCCAGGGAGCCGCCCCAGAGCCTCCCGCCTCCGGCTGGCGCCCGGGCCCCGCCGCGCCCACGCTGTCTGACCTGACCCGGGTGGGGGGTTGCTGCTGCCCGCGCGCGTTTGCCGCCGCGGTCCCCCTCACCTCCGCCAGGAAGGGCGGCGCCCGCCTGCCAGTTTCCCCTCCCGGTGCCAGGCCAGCATCGGGGCGACTGCCAAGTCTGGTCCTGCCGGGGTGGCTGGCCAGGCCGCCGCGCGCCTCCGTCGCTCTGGCGCGGGGCGCTTTCCCCGCAGCTGTGACTGGTCTGTGGGCAGCTAGTGGACGCAGCCTCGGAGCTGGCAGCACTCAGAACAGCGGAGACACCAGCCCACAGGGGCTGGATGGACAGAACAGACACTTCAGTCATTTCTAAAGTCCTGAGCCGCCCAGCCCTGGAGACACCGCCTAGACCACAGCCGGCAGATAGACAATAAACACGGAAAGAATGATCCCGAGATGGTGGCAAGTGCTAGGAAAAGAAGACACAGGTGAAAGCGGGGCAGGGTAGATGAGCTGCTTTGGAGAACAGATGGGGGACATAGACCTTTAATGAGACCAGATTCGAAGCCAGCCCCGGAAGAACCTGGGTAACAGCATTCTGGGCAGAGGGAACACGTGCAGCTCCTGTGGCCAGAACAAGCTCTGCCTGTTAAGGAACAATAAGAAGCCAGTGTGCCTGGAATAGAAGAAACCAGGAGGGTGGAGCTGAGGTCAGGGAAGACCACATAGGGCCTTGGGGAGAAGCCCCGATAAAATTCCAAGGCTGAGATGAGTGACTTCGGTGGCTGTTGGGCTGGGCAGCAATATTAATAATGGGTCTGGATTAAATGAGCTTGTCGGTCCTGTTCTGTGGAAGTAAATATGGGCTCAGGGTGGCAAAGGCACTTGCCTGGACACATACAGAATCAAACTGCACTCCTGGGAAAATTGCCTTGCTCCTGACACTGCCTCCTGCCTCCCAGCCTAACCCTCACCTTCCACCCTAGGGGCTGACAGGCAGTTCTTTCAAACTTCAGAGTGGGGGAGGGGGCAGAGCTTGGTCACCAAGCACGTAGCTCAAGTTCCCACTTAAAAAAAAATGTAGCTTTGAGAGAGGAAGGGAAACACCGATTTGCTGTTCCACTTATGTATTCAGTGGTTGCTTCTGACTAGGGATCAAATCCCCAACTTTGGTGTTTTTGATCTAACCCAGTGGTCGGCAAACTGCGGGCTCATGAGCCACATGCGGCTCTTTGGCCCCTTGAGTGTGGCTCTTCTGAAAAATACCACGTGCGGGCGTGCACGTTCAGTGCAATTGAAACTTCGTGGCCCATGCGCAGAAGTCGGTAGTTTGTGGAAGAGCCACACTCAAGGGGCCAAAGAGCCACATGTGGCTCTAGAGCCACAGTTTGCCGACCACTGAGCTAACCGACTGAGCTACCTGGCCAGGGCCTGGAGCTCCCACTCTTGGCTCTGTTCTCAGGACTGGGTCCCCATCCTCTTTCCCATAAAACTGGTCTCTTCTTCCAGGCCCAGGAACCCTCCCTAGTAACCATTCACTGGGCTTTATATACTTTATCTCTTATTTTTATTTTTGTTAATCCTCATTCGAGGATATTTTTCCATTGATTTTTAGGGAGAGTGGAAAAGAGGGAAAGATAGAAACACATCATTTGGTTGCCTCCTGCATGAGCCCTGACCAGGGGAGGAGCCTGCAACCAAGGCATGTGCCCTTGACCAGAATTGAACCTGGGACTCTTCGGTCCGCAGGCTGAGGCTCTAGCCAATGAGCTAAATCAGCGGCTAGGGCCATACTTTTATCTCTTTTAACATGCATGGTGATCTGGCTTGGTTGTCTTTATTTCCATTTTCCTGATGAAGAAAACCAGGAAAGATCACATCTCTTAAAATAACATTTGAACCAGCCTGGCTGATGGCAAGATGTGAGGACTGCCCTGCAAGGCCATGTTCAGGGACTGGCTCTTGGCAAGGGGCAAATAGCATCCCACCCCCTCAACTGCCCTTAGGCCAGTGGTTTTCAACCTTCTGGTCCTTTAAATACAGTTCCTCATGTTGTGACCCAACCATAAAATTATTTTCGTTGCTACATCATAACTGTAATGTTGCTACTGTTATGAATCGTAATGAAAATATCTGATATGCAGGATGGTCTTAGGCGACCCCTGTGAAAGGGTCGTTCCACCGCCAAAGGGGTCGCGACCCACAGGTTGAGAACCGCTGCCTTAGGCCAAAGGTGAGAGAAAACCGTGTACCTGAGGTAACACTGCCACCCTGTGGTGAAGATAAGTAACTACAGTGTCAGTTTCTCAGGCCAGAGCTTAGGAGACATGGACTGACAAGAGACAGCAGAACAGACCACGCCAACACAGACTCACAACTGTCCCTAATACTTTATTGGTCACCTCTCGGCCTGTGCCCGGTTGGGGAGTTCCAGCAATGGGTCACCATTCACCACTCAGCTAGGAATATAAGAAGGCCTTGGCCTGGCCCTTCAGGGTCAGGACTGAGGAATTTGAAGGGGCAAGCGTGGCCTTTCCTGGGCCAGCACAGGCACACAGGTGGGGGCCAAGAGCCGAAGCTTGGCATCTGTCGGCCAGCCTAACTGTGTTTGGAGAAGTATTCCTTGCTATCATCCACGTTGGGCTTGATCGTGTCACTACCTGGCTTCCAGTTGGCGGGACAGACTGTGGGAAGACACAAGGATGCACATGTGAGGCTACAGCCCCATATTCAAGGTAGGGCAGCAGTGAGAGGCAAGGTGAGACCCCGAGTTGCAGAAGAAAAAGCCCAGAGCCAAGTGGTCCAGGCCCAAGACCACATGTTGACAGAAGCCCCCAAGTCCAAGTGCAGGGCTTGTAGCTGATATTTTTATTTCTTTATGGCCCTCTAGCCCCATCTTTTTCCCCTCAGCTCCACCCCTAGTAGACTTTGAGAGGCTATGGTCAAGCTGTGTCCTCCACCCACAAAGGAAGTCTGATCCAATGAATTTTATTCAAGCCTGCTGTGGCACGCATCTTCTCAAATACCTTTTCTATATTACCTCCCAGCTACCCACCCTCGTATTGGGGTATCTCCCCATTCAGACTAGAAACTTCCTGCAGATGAGGCCCTGAGCCGAACCTTCTATGGGGCCTTCACATCCATGTTACATAGGTGATAAAGCAGGCAGTGAATGTCTCCATGAGTGACAGAGAGGGGCATGTGTGTGCACTCACCTTCCCCGTGCTCATCTGTGTACTGGAAGGCCTGGACCAGCCGCAGAGCCTCATCCACAGAGCGTCCCACAGGCAAATCGTTGACAGTGATCTGGCGAAGGATACCCTTGCCATCGATGATAAAGAGGCCCCTGAAGATATGAGGGTTCACAGTGAAAAGCTGGTAGCTCCCACTGGCCGGGCTGGGGGAGGGAGCACCATCTCCCTTCCAGCCACAGGGCTAATGGCAGGGAGGGCATTGCCCAAGAGTGGTCCCCTCACCCTGAGGACCCCATTACCTGTAGGCGATGCCATCCTCTTCCTTCAGCACGCCATAATCATGGGACAAACTTCTGGTTACATCAGCCAGCAGGGGGATGTTCAGGGGGCCCAAGCCGCCCTCCTTCCGGGGGGTGTTAATCCTGGGAGTAGGGGAGACAGGGCTGGGACCTCAGGATGCCTGCCACAGCAGGGCACTCACCCTGTGGACCTGGGTGTGATAAGGGCTGGAGACGGGGTGCTGGAGGAGAGAGATAAGGGGCTTTGGAGCAAGGCCCTGGAGGCCCCACCCACTCCACCCTGATGCAGGTGCAGGGGCTGTTTCCCACAGCTGGGAAGACTAAGCTAACGCTCTCATTCCAACCAAGTGGCTTCACATGTGCTGGTGGTCACCAGCCTCCTGGGCAAAGCGCCCAGCCTCCTGGGCAAAGCGCCCATCCTCCTCTCCAGCTGGGCTCTGGGGCCCAGCCCTCCACTCCCTTGAACTGGAGTTGCCACCTTCTTGAAATAGTTGCTGGGAGGGAGGCTGCTTTGCCCTAAGTGAGATAAAGCCTTTGCAACTTCACACCAAGCAACTAGATTCCAAAAGCTAATTACTGCTGTCATCATCGTTAAGGACTTGGGCGTCCTTATTTCCATTATTTTCAAGATGTGGGCAGGGAGGTGCAGAGGTTGAGCAAGGCCACACTAGAACACACAGCTGGGACCCGGTAGAGGTCTGGCTGCACCCCTCCCTCCCTGCGGGCCCCCACGCCTACCAAGCCAGGTGGGTGAACTGCGAGTCCACGGAGACCCCCAGCACCTCGCAGCCCAGCTTGCGGAAGTCCGCGGCGTGCTCGCTGAAGGCGATGATCTCGGTGGGGCACACGAAGGTGAAGTCCAGCGGGTAGAAGAAGAGGACCACGTACTTCCCTGG